TTTGTGAAACTCTCCTGTAAATATTCATTTCCATCACTGTACTGAACACACGATTTGGTCAAGTTGACTAAAACTACAAATTTGACGTTTGTTTTCCTCAGCCTCTGAAGTTCACCGTGTGACCAGAACATGGCAAAATTCTGATTTGGAATTTATGTCTTTTTGTTGTTGTTTTTTTTATAATTTGTCATTTTTGAGGGAATGGATACCAAGCACATTGATAACAAAGTAAACAAAATATAAGACTAACACGCAAAGAAAGAGAAAAAGTAATAATAATACATAAATAAATAAAAAAGGGCGATGGGGGTTGTTTGTTGTATAGAGTTTCAGTGCAGTGTTTGCATGTGTGTATTTACATTTCAGGGCTGTCAGATCAAATTCACATTTACATATTTTCTATTTCCTTATATCTTTTGTTTGTTTTTGGCAACTCCAAAACACGCTTACACTTACAATACATTATACAAACATTTACATACACATATATAGTGTGATGTTCTTCATTTACTGTCCTTTGTCCAAATGGGGTTTTGTCACAGTCCAAGGACCAACAGTGTGTTTGTTTTTTGTGTCCAACGACTGAGCAGCTGCTCTATAGAAATTAAATCCAAAAAGTCTTTGTACCAATTGTCTATGTCGAAACACTTATGTTAACGTTCTTTCCAGTTCATCATATTAATACGTTTAGCTGATAAAAAACCCAGTGATAATATGTGGTCCAATTTTTGGGCTGAAAAATCTTGAGTTCTTATTCCAAACAGGCAACAGGCATGGAGAGATCTGCAGATTTAAATCACCACCTAACAGAAAAGGTGGTCTACACATTCTGCTAATATTAAGTTAAGTTTAGGTAAGAAAATATTTGTCCAGTGTTGGGGGCATAAACAAATGTACATCTTTCATGTTGTAAAAGTCCTGATAAAATGATATATCTCCCATCTTTGTCAATAATCTGTTTTAATAATGTGAATTTCAGTTTTTTGGAGAATAATAGACTAACTCCTCTTGATGCTCCATTACCTGGGGCAGAAAAGACCTGTTCCACCCATCTTTGCTTTAACTTGGCTGACTCTTTCTCATTTAAATGAGTTTCCTGGAGTAGTGCTGTGTCACAAGCAAGGGATTTCAAATGAGAAATAATTTTATATCTTTTGGTTTTATTGGAAATCCCTTTAACATTCCAGGAAATCATATTAATGTTTAAGCCCATAATCTACATATATATTGTTTAGTGAACTCTGTACTAGAACACTGGGAGGGGGGGCGGGAGGGGAGATTAAAAAAAAAAAATAAATAAAGTAAAATAATAAAAAAAATATATATATAATAATAATAATAAACAAACAAACAAACAAAAACAAGGACAAATATATATTTAAAAAATGCCATGAGGAAATAGAAAAACAAAAACAGTGGGTAAAGGCCCACGTATCATTAGTCTGTGATGAAAAAAGAAAAAAAGTGCAGGCGTCTCCAAATCCACTCTGTCCCTTATGTCTGATCAAGTTCCTCGGGTGGCAAAGTCAATATAAATTTTATCTTTATATCTATATCTATATCTATATCTATATATATATCATGCAGGATAGATCAGGTCATAGTGAATATTTGTCCCGTGGAGCTTCCTTTTGATATTCCGTGCTCTTCTTTCGGATCTCCACGGGTAAATCCCGGTGGATTTAAAGCTTTTGGACATGCTCATTTTCAAAGCAAAGCCTGCGATTCCAAACTCAGTCATGTGTGTAAGAGCTCCCTCTGCTGGCACACACAGGTAAAACAGTTTTCACTCAAACATGAATTATAAATCTGCACAAACAAACCAACAATTTGTATTAATTAATTGTAAAACTGCAATAAAAACCAGAGCATTTAAACTATAAACAAACACTAAGGAATATTATGAATCATTCTTAAAATGTCTGGAGACTGTCAAACATTTAAGTTCATGTTTTTTCATTTTATTTTATTTTGGTTATAATACAGGGATGACAGGAACTTTTTATTGTCCCACAATGTTGTTTTTAATAGGAATTTTTACAGGTGCACTCCCTTCTTCTTAATTGGGAAACACATGAGAAGCTCTGACCTCCGACATATAAAAGGACATTTTGTTTTAAAGCTTCTTCAAGACCAGGGATTGGCAATTATTTTTACAATGGGGCCACAAGAGAAACAGAAAATATTGTAGAGGCCAAAATGTTTAACTCACTTCTGCAGAATATTAATTGTATTTCTTTATAAAAAGCTGTAAATCTCATTGTTTTGTCGAGCTGCTCAGACTGGGAAGAGTTTATTTTCTGACTAAACAATGAAAAAGTGAGACTGTCCAACAACAAAAAAATGTCATTTAAAAACACCTCTAAAATAAAAGTAAGTAAGTAAAGTTTTTATTAACTTTCAGACAAAAAAAATAAAAAATTGTTCATATAAATAACTGACCCCGTTGTTAACACATGTCAACATACAACCGAAAAAAAAATAAAAAATAAAAATAAATAAATAAATAAGAAACCAATTCACACACTCACTCACACTCACACACACATTCACTAAAATATATAATAAAATAAATAATTATAATAAAATATATAACTAAAAGAAATAAATAAATGAATAAATAGATAAGAATAAAATAATAAAATATAAATAAATTAATTAAAAATAAATTAAAATAGGTAAAATAATAATAATAATAATGAAAAAAATAATAAATAATAAAAATAAATAAAAATTAAGTATTATCATTGTTATAATCATCACCACCAATTGAACATTAACAATAACAATATTATTATACATATACATCATTTCTATTTTGTGGATATGATATTCAAATAAGGTTCCCATAATTTCACAAAGTCTTTTTGTTTTCCCTTTGTTATAAATGTCAATCTTTTAAGGCCGATAAATTCTGAAAGTTCCTTTAATCCACTGTTTTGTGGAGGGGGCTTCAATGTTTTTCCAGTTTAGGGCGATGACTCTCCTTGCATGAAATAGTCCAAAGTCCAGTAATTTTGCTTGTTTTTTTGTCTAAAACATGTTTATTTTGTGATTCCAAATGAGCTTAAACGAACAGATCAGAGTCAAACAAAGATCCATATGTGGCCCCGGAGCTGAACAATGCCCAGGTCTGTACTAGAGGATATTCTGAGATGTGGACTTTATTTCCTTCTGAGTCAATGTGGCCAATCAGGAACATCTTTTATTATTTTATTGTGTAATTGCTTTTGTGTCCGTGTTTGTGTGAAAGCTGTGTGACTTTGTATTAATGTGTAATTAAGTGTCAGGCAAATGTATACTTTATTTATTCTTTATATTAGTTTATTTATATGTGAAAGACCAGAGTTTAAGAGGGTTCATTTTAGTTTTCATACTTTCTTTTCCGCAGTTCTGATGGCGTAGTTTTCATAGTTCTGTGTTTTTAAACTCCACTCACCTTTACGAGAAACATTTGGATCATTTTAGACCTGGAACTGCCGATCTCTTCTGAACTAAAGGTAAAAAGTAACTAAACACTACGGAAGCCGAGAGGGGTCGCAACAAACGCAAACGCCGCAACAAATACAAATGCGACAACACAACAAAAAAGCCACAACAAACAAACAAAAAAAGCCACAACACACCAAAAAAGCCACAACACACCAAAAAAGCAAACACAACACAACAAAAAGCCACAACACACAACACCAAAAAAGCACAACACACCAAAAAACCACAAACACACCACAAAAAGCCACAACACACCAAAAAAAGCCACAACACAAACACAAACACAAACCAAAAAAGCCACAACACACACAAACACAACAGCCACAACACAAAAGCCACAACACACCAAAAAAAGCCACAACACACCAAAAAAAGCCACAACACACCAAAAAAAGCCACAACAACACACACAACAAAAAAAGCCACAACACACCAAAAAAAAAGCCACAACACACAAAAAAGCCACAAAAAGCACAACACACACACCAAAAAAGCCACAACACACCAAAAAAACAGCCACAACACACACACAACACACCACACAAAAAGCCACAACACACCACCACAAACACACACAAAAAGCCACAACACAAAAAAGCCACAACACACCAAAAAGCCAAACACACACCAAAAAAAAAAAGCCACACACATAAAAAAGACACAACACAACACACAAAAAAAGCCACAACACAACCAAAAAAACACAACACAACAACCACAAAGGAAGTGACCGCGGGACTCTATTTTTAATGCAAACACCGCAACAAATACAAACGCCACAACACATTAAAAAGCCACAACACATTAAAAAGCCACAACAGAAGTGTAATGATAATAATAATAATAATGAAATAAAAAAACAATAATTACTTTTACTTACGTTTCCAACTTCTCCGTTCCTTTACTTTTCACATTGTAGTTTCTTCTTCTTCACTTGCCGCTTGATCGGTCTGTCGGAAAATAGAGTCCCGCAGTCACTTCCGTTGTGGTTTTTAATGTGTTGTGGCTTTTTAATGTGTGTGGCTGTTTTGATGTGTTGCGGCATTTTTTGTGTTGTGGCTTTTTAATGTGTTGTGGTTTTGCTTTGTGTTG